GGAAGCTGAGAACTGGCGAGTTTCTAGTGCAACTTTAGCAGCGGAGCAAGCTGTGGAGCTGGAAGCTGAGAACTGGCGACTTTGTAGTACAACTTTAGTACGCGGAGTACCTGGGGAGCTGGAAGATGAGAACTGGCGACTTGGTAGTAGAACTTTAGTACGCGGAGTAGTTGGGGAGTGGGAAGATGAGAACTGGCGACTTGGTAGTACAACTGTAGTCCGCGGAGTAGCTGGGGAGCTGGAAGATGAGAACTGGCGACTTGGTAGTACAACTTTAGTACGCGAAGTATCTGGCCAGATGAGAACTGGCGACTTGGTAGTACAATGACTTGGTAGTACAACTTTAGTACGCGGAGTATCCGGGGAGCTGGAAGATGAGAACTGGCGACTTGGTAGTACAAGTTGAGTGCGCGGAGTATCTGGCGAGTTGGAAGATGAGAACTGGCGACCTGGTAGTACAACTTTAGTACGCGGAGCAATCTGTGGAGCTGGAAGATGAGAACTGGCGACTTTGTAGTAGAACTTTAGTACGCTTCATTCCAGCTTGCTTTTTTCAGTGAGATTTCCTGGAGGCGTGCACGCTGCTTCTCTCCTTACCAGCAGCCCAAATGCTCACGACGATGAGCTGGGCTGTCACCGCTTGGCCGCCGGTGGGGGGTTTGGGAGGCCTGCGCGCTAATTCGTTCACTATATGTACAGTGAAGACCTTCACCAGCAGCAGACATGGACATACACACACAGACAGGGACTCACACACACATCACACACTGCCTCAACTTACTCGGACACACACACACAGACAGAGACTCATATACACACGGACATAGATACACACACAGAGACCCACACACTACCTCAACTCACTCGACTTAACACTTCACACTGCACACTTAACAGATAACTCGCACTCTGACTTCCTACGTGATGAAAAATGCTTTCGGGCCACTCGTCGTCTAGTTTATTTGTCAATCCCATGGGAACTTCATTTGTTTGCCAGATCTTTGCAGCACGGTTGGGGAGTGAACATTGGGTCCTAAACAACTAATGTTTTTTGGGTGGTGTAGCAGTGTAGCACTAGACGTTGTTAGGTTGGGGCTTGCTTCTGAGGGCTTCAAAGAACACCCAACAATCGAGAACGAAGATTGCATGTCTTCAAGGGGCAGTCTTCTACAAGACTCATGGGAGCTCTTCCTTGTCTGAGCTTATTATCTTCATTGCAAATGTTCCTGTTCGATAGAAGACGGTCCTTGGCCTTTATGCAAAACACCTCCGTAGTTGCCAGAAGCCGGAACATTGCTCAACCGTATAGGTTATTTATATGAATCAAAGTCCTTATCAAGGAACGAATTTTAGAATCTTAAGAAGTTAGTGTGTGCGTGCGGGGTTTGAGTGTGGAACGAGCAGACCTTTTGCTCTGGAGGTGTTTTCAATCGTAGGAAGGAATCAAAGCATATGCTGCTTTTGTATTACATCAGGTCATGTTGTGGCATTGAAGGCTGATTGTTGCACAGTTGCTCTATGTTGGTGCAGATTCATTCTCTAATTGACCCCTTTGCAATGACTTGGCAATGACCCTGGAGCACTACGGCTACACTGGGGGCCATGCCGAGCGTGGCAGGAAAGTACGTTCAATTGCCAGAAGATGCACAGGAGCGCAGTCAGGTTATCAACAACACTTCAATGGTTTGAGTAGATTTGATGAAACCTATGGACAGGGTCTTGCCACAGTGTTTTTGTGCAAAAGAAAGCAAACTTGCGCGGGGAGGACTTGCTTCACTTCTTCCTCGAAGCCAAGCCTGACTGGAGCGCGGATGAAAGACGGGCTGTCTTCACCAAACTGTCTGCGATTCAGCAGCTCAGAAGCCAATTAAGAAGCTTTGTCTATTGGTTGATATTTTTATGTTAGATACTGTGCAAGATCCAGTTTTCTGAGGATCCGAGATGTGTCTGGGCTTCTTTGTTCACTCCGAACAGAAGATCTCAATGCTAAACTTCGGGCAGTGGGTCAAAAGCCTTTCCACCTGCGAACCATTCAGGCGCTGCAACTCCGACCCACTGAAATCACAAATTATCACAAGTTTTTCAGGGTGCCCAATGCAGTTCCCTTGCGTCTGCCTGCTGAATTAAAGGCCGGCTGATAGTTACTCCAACAGATTTTACCCTTTAGAGTCTAGAGCTAGAACAGGATCTGGCAGGGGTGCTTGAAAGATCCTCCACAAGATGGTGCATAAGTTCGGCAGGTTGTGATTTGCAGCACGGGTCGCCTTTCGCCCCACCTTCCCGACAGGCCTTTCAGCAGCAGCTGCAACGGCGGTCAGAAGGATCTTCAAGTATGGTTTTTCAAAGCACATCTGCCAAATGCTTTGAAGCAACTGAAGCCCAGGCAGGCGTGCAACAAGTTTGGCGCTCAAAGTGTGACAGCAGGCCTCACAATTGGACAGTTGAATTATTTGATAGTGTTGACATGTGTTAACTGTTTGTTTCATGCAATTTTCTCAAGAACAAGATACCTTTGCATGGGATTTGGAACCAAGTCGTGTATCAATGCTTTTATAATGTTTTATGATGGATTGTGCTTCGGAATGTTACGAAGTGCTGTCCAAATATGTTGTTCTTACCGTCATAACAGGTCGTCCATGCAAGGTACATCTCAGTCCCACTTGACATTGTTAGATATATATATATATTATATATATACTCCATACATTTGTACAGTTACAAATATTATGTGTCTACCAGGTACCACCGTTTCGCTTCATCATTGAAACGAAGAGCCTTATTTTGGCACCGTATAATTTACGAGATATAATATTGCTCGCCACAAACCACCTGAGAGATAGAGAAGGCAAGGGCATGATGACGGAGCATTGGCAAGGAGTTGCCCCAATCAGATTACTGATATTTATATAACAAACACACATGCTGGTGTGTACTGCTTCTACCACCCTTGGAGGTTCACCTGCCACCACCTGGCACATCTGATGCACCGAACTGGGAGGCCGGAAGGTGTCGCGAAGAGAGGGACTGGACAAACACGAGGTCTTCCGTGATAGATTTTCTGTTGAGGCAAGCAGGTTCTAGGATTATAAGGTTTTCGCATGGAAGCTGGAAACAGTTCAATGTACAAGGAAGACAATGTAGAAGGGAACAACTTGTTGTTAGAAAAATGGGAGATGAACACCTGGATCCATTTTGGCAATGAAAGCGTTCCATTTATGCAAGGCCCCGGCCTCTGCTGGATGGTGGCGTGTAGTGAGCAAGCCAAGTGTTTGGGCACATTGTGCACCCGACACAGACTCTGCACACATCAGTGTTCATTGTTGTGGGAAGCTCTTGGCCATGACTCAAACCCGATACTGCGCCAAATTCGATGCACATTGGCTGAAACTCCGAGACGAGCGCAGTTGCGATGGACGTGGCCAGTGGATTCTGTCCAATGTTGGCATGGCATATTTGCGGGAATCTGCAGTGTCCTTTGGAGATCTTCTCGAGAAAGTTTGTGATGCTGGATGCACACCTTCCAGAGAAGCTCAGGCATCGCACTATTTGTCAGTGAAGGCTTTTCAAGATGCAAAGGAGGAGCAAGGGAGGAAGCGCCGGGAAAGGGACCATCACCGCGAGGAAGGCGAGGAAGGTAACCTTTGGGGAGGTCTGCATGTCACGCTGCTGGACTTTGTAAACGCAGCATACCAATCCACCCTGTCTGTTGGATGCCACGCATTTCCCTATGCAAATCCTGACATACTTCCTGATCCCTTCGGGAGAGGGCTGGCCGAAACTGTCCGAACACTTTGCTCGCAAAGCTATGTCTTTGTGAGCAAATTCCTCGATTCCAACCATGTAGCAGACTTTGTTGATGAAGTCAGGAAGATTCATGAGGATGGCAAGATGGAACCAGCCGACCCTCATCAAGCAACATCTGGTCAGCGTGATGACCATATTTGTTGGATTGATGAGACAAGAAATGCCGCCACTCAGCCAGCTATCCACAAGGCGATAAAGATGTTGAAGGCCGTTGCATATGCTTTGTCGCCTGGCCTCTCGTACCTCGGCACGCTGCAGGCAGAAACGCTGTCCGCCCGAGAAGGGTATTCAGCAAACAAGGATAAATTAAACAAAGTATGGAACAGTTGTACTAGCTAGTAGCTTCTAGTAGCTTCTTGTTACTACTAGTAGTAGTACGGCCAGGAGCCCCTAGTAGCTTCTTGTTACGAAATAGTAAGGCCAGGAGCGCCCCTAGTAGCGTCCGATCGCTCCTAGTACATGAGATTAATTGAAAAGCCCAGTGTTGGCCGATCGACAGTGATCCACACGAATGATAGTTGATGCTAAGGCAGTTCCATCGACAGCAGCGAGAGTCCGGCGATCCCGCCCATGCCTTCGATCCTGCAGCACCAGCCTCTCCTGATGCAGTACTGACGGTCCCTCCGAAGGCTCGATGGTACGATGATATGCTCAATATGTTGGTTCTTGCAAAGGCTGTTGATACTTGATATATATATATATTCACCTGTGTTGATTTGATATGACTTGATTAGATTAGGTGATAAGAGTATTTGTTGATGCCAAGAGAACATACGATAACTGGGAATTTGATGCGACATGTTGTTTGATTGCTTCTTGCTTTACTGGTTGCATTTGATTGTGCAGGCGATGCTCTCGTGCTATCCTGGAAACTCCTCTAGAGACTTGGTTATATAGACGATCGTTTGATTTTGAATGTCTTGTTTGCAGACTCATGAATGTCATGCTCCAAGGATATATCCCTCACACGGATTCCAAGTATATGGAAAAACTGCAAACAAAGAGCAATCCACGTGAGCTTACTGCTTGGTGCCTAGTTTTGCTGAGTCGAACGTGGTGTGACTCCACGTGAACACTGATTGCAAAGTCTCCATGTGCTACCGATCTTGGATGATTCGGATTGCCCAGAACTTTGGAGCTTCTATGTGCAAAAGGTCATGAATGTTTCCAACGAAAGAGTTTGTCGATTTCGAGGCCATTATTTATGCAAATCCTCCAGACTGGAAGAGGGAAGATGGTGGTGCCTTGAGGATCTATCCGCACTCTGCTGGTTTGGAGTCTTGCCCTGGCACTGTTCAGGCAGGGGCGATTGCTGCGTTTGTCACTGTTGCCATGTTGAGTCTTTTGCTGGGGACGGAGTTCTTGCAAGACATCGACTTCCTGTGGGCAGTTTTGTTGGTGAATAAATGTGAACCATGAAAACATATGAGAACATATGAAAACACTCATTTTAAGGTTAAGCGGTCGCTTCTTCAAGGAAGCTCCCCCCCCGCCCTCGGGGAGTTTCCTCAAAAGCGTGTGCTATCCTGCGTCCTGTTGGTAGTAGCTAGTTAAGCTACTAGCGACTTGGGTCTCTGGGCGGTGTAGCTCGGGGAAGGATGGAGCAAACATGCCCATGGTTGAGCCGGTAGTGATTGATCCGATTCTCGAATGCACCAAGTGTCGGGCCAGCGTGTTGTCGTCACTACGCGTCCTTGCTCCTAGTAGAAATGCCCTTGTTACTATTAGCGTTCTTGCTCCTAGTAGCGATGCCAGGAGCCCCTAGTAGTGTCCTTGCTCCTAGTAGCGATGCCAGGAGCTGCTAGAAAGAATCCTGGAAATCGAGGGAGATGTCGTAAGTTGTTTTTATATGTTTTTATGAGATTGTTCACCAATCCGATTTCCTCATCCATCATAAAGTGCTAAAATAATGTCATATAAAATGTTGATGAATGTTCCGCCATAATGATTAGTTGATTTTATGGCAGGATCATATTATAAGTAATGGACCGTTTTTGATCATAAGAGAAACAGAAATTAAACAAATGATCATTGCACAGGTTGTGACTCTTGAACAGAAGATGCTCCGTGGAGCGTGCATCAGAATGGTTTGTTGGGTGAGATGAAACTTATGGAACCCAGCGCAAGTTGGAGCGGAGATGCTTGTCGAATCGATTTGCTATGAGGATTGGTGGGAGCTTGGTGGTCTTTTTTTCTGACCTATGGCATGGATCTCAGTAACAACTAGGAATCAATCATTAAGCATTTAGTTGCCACACGTTTCTCGTCACAGACATTTGCCACAGGATGTTGCCATGTCAGTTTTGTGTTGGCATTGACGCTGTTTGTGGGGAGTGGTGAGGAGGAAAGTGGTTTGGGCTCACGTCAATCTTCCTTGGCTAAGGCTCTGAGCCGGAGAAACGAAATGGGCCAACACCATCCAAAACCGCTTGAGGGAAGTACACAGAGTGAACTGGTGTTGCCTCTACTAGACAGTGCTCACACCAAGAATAGTAAGTACACTTTTCCAAGCCTGGTGGATCAATCATGGTACTTGACACTTGTTGCAAACAGCTCCACCCAAAAGATCCACAGATCCAGCATTCGTCGTTTTCACCGCCGAGGCATGAAGTTCTTCCTGCTCACCGCCCGCGCAGAGCACTGACCTTGTGGATCTTTCGCCCGGTGAAGCGTGGAGAGCAAAACAGTGAGCGCCGCATGTGGATCTGCTTTTCTGAGACTCCGCATGGCTTACACTTTTTGGACTCAGACAGATGGAGAAACCCCGATTCGGCCAGGCTGCGTGGTGCAACCATGTGCAACGCGTCTGACTCTTGGAGGCAAAGAAGAAACTGTTTACAGCAGTGTTTTTCCAGCACAGTGGAGGCCAGGCCTGCCCAGCAGACAGACTCAGGTATTCAAATAGCATCAAATAGCGCCTCTAATCCGATCAGTGTGATCCCGGTCCCGTTTTGGGCTCAAAGACCGATGGTCTTTCTGTAGGTGCCAAAATGGCTGTGAGACTCTAAGCGCGAACGAACATCTACTAATGGCTTTCAATACGCTATATGTCTCACAGTTGTCCACAGCAAAGCACTCATAAAGGAGGTGTGTGCTGGAGTGTTTCAAGACCATTCATGGTTGGTAGTGAGTTCATGGAAAGTTGGTAGTGTTTCAGACCCGGCTTTTCACAAGCTCAAATTCCAACCTGTCAATTGAGAAGTACAATAAGCCAAGGCTGCATTCAATCATTGAGGTCCCTCCATGTGCAGTCAATCACCCACCACTGGCAGAGTCGAGCGAAAACGATCGCATATCACTTGGGCCAAAGTGCCAAGTTGCGAACAATGAACCATTCTGATAGCTCCAGATTGCAGGACCAGCATGGACCAGCTGCAGTCAACCTTGTTCATTGGTTCAGTTTGCAAATCTTGATTCCTCGAAATCACTGAAGAGTAATCAGAGTTAATTCAGGGAACGATTTGCCCTGTGCTTGACGTTCCGGCAGCTGTTTTTTCCGTTCCGGCATCATGCGGCCAGGAATACCAACGCAATACCGCGTTTGTCGGCTTTATGGGATTGGTTTGCAATTTGGCCAAAGCCGGCTTGACTTTTTGACCCATCTGATGTTTCTTTTAGTGGACGGGTGTTTTTGTCCCGTGGCTTTGTCATCGGTCGGCATCATCCTGCTGTTGGTGTGCACCTTTCTTGAAGCTGGTTTGCAATCCAAGAATCTAATTATGTGAAGTTGACTGCATGTCACCTAGGAACCAAGACGGTGAGTCATGCTTTCAGGTTTTTCATGGACCGCAAACCCTTTCACCACCTCAAGACGGGTGGGATTCGATCCTGCGCAAAAGGCCGCGCGGTTTGGTGCCTAGCGCACCATCCTTTGTTTTCGAGTTGGTCGACTTCGTGGGCGACCGATCGCTTCGCATTGGTAGCGGAGCTACGGCTCCTGGCGACCTTTGTGTCTTCACCTTCGAGGTCCTGCGGAAGACCTACGTCACGAACGCTTTGCCGAGCTCCTGGCCCTCCTCGAACCAGAGCACATCGGTGAAGCCTGATCTTCATGCCACCGACGACGCAGGCTGCAGAAGCCCAGAGCGCAGACTATCAAAACCTGCGCGACTCCTACGTTCCTTTGTTCAATGGCCAGCCATCCGAGTACCGTGAGTACCGCATGGCAAGAGCGATCCCAAGGGCCGAGCGAAAGCCAACATGACCTGCCTTCGCTGTGGACAGGTGGGCCACTGGGCGGCCAACTGCCCTCAGAACCCCAAAGGAAGTTCATCACCGAGCAACAAGAGGCCAGCACCAAGCTCCATGACCACTGAAGGAATGGCCCTACAGGCCGAACAGGCCATGCTGCTCTTCCAAGACGAGAACGGCCTTGACCATCCAGAAGCCACCATGCTGGATCCCGGTGCCTCTGCCTTCTTGAGCGGATTTGGTCCTTTCAAGCGATACGTGCAGTACCTCAGCGAGATTGGCTATCCGGTCAACACCATTCGCTTTGCTCGTTGTGAACGGCAATTTCAGTTTGGTGGCGATGCGTCCTCTAAGGCCCGTTGGACTGTCGACTTGCCTGTCATGATTGATGGCCAGTACGGAACCATCCAATGCTACTTGGTGCCCGGCAACACGCCTATGCTCATGGGTCGACCAGTGATTGAGGCCTTGCATATGAGCATCGACTTCAGTGGCAAGAGAGTCCGCTTTGGCAACTCACCCTGGCAATCAGTTCTGATCGGCCGTCATGGTGAGTATTTGCTCTCACTCACTGCTGGCATGGACAGCACTGCTGAACCCACCAAAGTGAACTTCAGTCTGAACATCGCAGAGGAAGTACCTGGCAGTTAACTACACCTACAGGACTTCAACCAGTTGGAGAACATCTTCCTTGCCGACGAACAGCTGCTCAAGGACAACGGCATGGACTATGCCTATCAGACCCTGAAGCGCCATCAACTTCACACCATGGAGCTTGGCCTCCTTCAGGCGACCAAGCAGACTGAGGCCTATGCGACCGCTGAACTGCATCGTGAGGAGAACCCCAAGCGTGTACTTTGGGAGATCTACTGTGGTCACAGCCGCACTTCGCAACTTGCCGAGACCATGGGAATGGCAGTTGAGCGCTTCAGCCTCGACAATGGCTGGGACTTCAACCTCTTGGAGCACCAGAAGCAACTCCTGGCACGACAGGCTGAAGAAATGCCTGATGAGATCTTGTTGGCCCCAGCGTGCAAGCTATGGTCAAAGATGCAGACACTGGCATGTCGCACTGATGCCCAGCGAGAGGCCTTGATCGCCAGTCGTGAACATCATCATCGACGACACCTTCTCTTCTGCAAGAGGGTCTATATGGCTCAGGTTGAGGGTGCTCGACACGTCCACTTGGAACAGCCCAAGCATGCCCTCAGCTGGCAGACAAAGGCATTAAAGTCTTTGCCTGGCTACGCAGCCGAGTTTGACCAATGCCGCTATGGAGCACAATGCCTCGATGACGACGGTGAGTGGAGACTGACACAGAAACCCACTCGGATCCAAACTACAAAGAAGTCAGTCGCAGAAGCACTTCATCTTCGATGCCAACATGACCATCCTCACTGCCGCTTGGAAGGGAGTGCCCCTGGCTTTGGTCCTCGCACCTCCTACATGGAAGACTATCAGCCTGGTTTTGCTGCAACCCTGGCTGCTGCGATCTCACTTCCTGAACCACCACATCACAGGGAGACCGCCCTGGCAGTTAGCTCAGCAAAAGCCACTGGTCATTTGGTCAAACTACATTCTGAACATCGAGCCGACGCCCTGAGGACGGTACAGAGACTGCACCGCAACTTGGGTCATCCTTCAGCTGAAGCTCTTACCGACTTACTGGTTGCTCGTAATGCCAGCTCTGCGGTCATTGAAGCTGCCCGCCACTACCGCTGCGTGGCCTGTGCCAAGTATAAGAAACCAAATGAGGCTGCTCCGTCCTCAATGCCACAGAGCCGATGTTTCAACGACACTGTCCAAGCTGATGTCTTCTATTTGAAGATCAACGACCGACGACCGCAAGCACTCTGTGCTCAGCATGGTTGATGTCGGTACTCGCTTCATGGCCGCCTATCTGCTCGACGACGAGACCTCCGACTCCTATGTGCACGCCCTCGAGAAAATGTGGTGCCGTCATTTTGGGGCACCCAAGATTTTGGTCACCGATGAAGGCAGATCTTGGCTTGGAGCCTCCATGGAAGCCTGGACGACATCCTGGGGCATCGAGCATCAAGTAGCACCAGGAGAAGCCCATGAACGCCTGGCTCTTGTGGAAAGGAGACATGCTGTCTTGCGCAAGGCCATCGAGATTTACCTCACAGACCGCCACCTCACCAACAAGAAGGGAATCCGTGAAGCCATTGCTCACATCGTGCCTCAACAAAATGGCACTCCTTCTGTGGCCGGGTTTTCACCTTCACAATGGGTCTTGGGCTACCAGCCAGAGCTCTCCACACTCCTGGACCCCAATCTCAATCCAGCTCAACTTGTTGGCGCCAACGAGACCTTCGAGGCCAATCTTCAACGCCGGACTGCTGCCAAGATTGCACTGACTACGGCTGACGCTGACAGCAAACTGCGCCGTGCTCTTGGACGACGCTACCAAGGGCAGAACAAGGAGTTCCACCTTGGTGAGAAAGTTTGGTTCTGGCGTGACGCAAGACAAGGCCTGCTCAACAAAATTCGCTGGCTAGGCCCCGCTCACGTGGTCATGCGAGAAGAGCACTCCAATGGAGAGAACACCAAGCCCACAGTCAAGACCTATTGGCTGGCTTACAAGACACAGCTCATTCGTGCAGCTCCACATCATGTTCGGGGAGACATCTTGGGCCCGGACCATGTCATTGACGACCTGCAAAAGGCCCTGAATCAAGTGCGACAGTTGAAATCTCGTGGAGTCACACGATGGTATGACCTGCAACGTGTGAACAAGCAACGCTTGGACGATGTTGATGACATGGCGCTGGTTTGTCGTATTGTGGCTGTGACATCCAACTCACGGACACCAATGGCTACAAGATACAACAGGACAACTATATGAAGAAGATCAAGCCCATCACAATCGACAAGCGCCGTGATGTCAATGAGATCATCTCCGAACGTGACCTGACACAACTTCGAGCATTGCTTGGTTCGCTCCAATGGCCTGCTGTTCAATCAAGTCCACACCTACAAGGAAGCACTTCGATTCTGAGCGGCCAAGTCTCCAAGGCCACCAATCAGACCTTGATGGATTGTAACAAGCTCCTGAAGTTCAGCAAGGACAACTCCGATGTTGGGCTGGTGTACGAACACCTTGGCGAGGTCCAGGACTTACGCCTCTTGTGCTTCTTTGATGCAGCATTCGCCACTCGTACTGATGGCAGCTCCCAGCTTGGCTACATCATTTTGATGATCAACAAGTCCCTCCTTCGTCCCGATGGTGTTGAAGGGGCATACCACATCCTCGACTGGAGAAGCCAGAAGACCCCCCGCGTCGCAAGGTCATCGCTTGGCGCTGAAGCCCAAGGAGGTGGTCAGGCATGTGACGCTTTGGAGCATGTCTGTGTCTACTGGAATTGCCTGCTTGACCCTCGTCGGAAGCTCAAGGAGTTGCTCGACTGCAAGTCCACCCTGGAACCAACGATGGTCACTGACGCCAAGGCCTTATATGATTCATTTCATCGAG